TTGTTCAAATGGTTTTGGGATGTTGATATGCAGTAAGGGACGACCAAGGACTTGGCTTTTTGTGGGGATTAAAATTTACAAGGCCTTGTTATAATTATGTGGTACAGGATTAAAATGTCTATCCATTCTGTAAGAGCTGTAATGTGAAGGTATGTTTGAAAATACATGAAGATCGTCAGATCGGGATTAGCACCCGAGATGAACAGCTATGGAAAAAAGTGTGAGGCTAAAACAATTCTTCAGACATGGCAAATGTGCTGTAAAACAGGCTGAGGAGGGATTAATTAGCAAGAGTGCGTAAAGAGGGAAAGAAAGAGGTGAAGAACGAAGAAAGACTGTTAAGGTAGAAATGAAGGCATTATTTGATTCTGAATGTCTCTGAGTTTGTAGATCTTTTGTCTTGTTGACAGATTGTTTGGAAGAATAGACAGTGATAGATGACTGGTGAAATAATTTTTGCAAAACCAGATTAAGGACAGGAAGAAACCATTGTATTATTTTAGCCCATTTAATGGCCATTCATGAATTTTTATGATTTTTTAATTTTATTTTAGCTAACTTAATTTTTAACGCAACTTAATGCTTTCAGTTAATAACTGTAAAGCTGGTAATTAGGGTGAATATAATAAAATGATGAAGTAGGGAAAACAAGTTTTGCATTTAATATTTATTCTTTTTTACTCTGTATTGTGTAGTGAAGATATTTGTTTAAAATTAAGACAATGATCATATTTTAACTAAGACATCGAAAGTGGCAAATGATCAGTTGGTCACTTCAATCAAGTCTCAGGCTCGTTTGCTTTAGAGGGGGTCACTTGAAACTAAATCCATACCATTGGACTTACATGACAATCAGTTTGAATAATTCTTAGTGTGTCATTTTATTGGCTACGTTTATTTAATAATGCATAAAGTTGTATCATTTTGGCCTTGGTCTTGCAGTCCTACATGCATTACACATACAGGCACACCAGAGCATTATAAGAATATATCAGACGGGTGAGTAAATAAAGCCTTTCCTTTCATTCACACCTCATGGTCATGCCTACATGAAGTGCCTACCGTTCGTGCTTCCCTTCATCTGCTACTCTGCCCTTTGACCTTTGGATCATAAAGGCTTGTAGTTTCCAGGAGTAGGAACATTTAATTCCCCCATCAGATCTGACAATGTTTTCATCCATCAACACTTGTACAAGAGGTTTTTCTTTCTTTTCTTTTTTTTTGCATGCCACAATCCATATTATTATTGTTAACTAAAATTAAAACAATAAAAACAAAAATGTGTTAACTGAAATAAAATATAAATATTAGATACAAAACAGAAAAAGAACTGAATTATAACTTAGAATAAATGATAAATTAGAATTGTTGACTTGGCAACTAACTGAAATAAAATAGATTTGAGTACTATAATTACAAAAAAAATGAAATATGAAGTAAAGCTAAATAAAAATTAATATTTTTGAAAAAGCTAATAAAATTACAAAAGCAGAAAAAATACTAAAAGCTAAACTTAAAATTAAAACTGAAAGTCTAAAAATAAAAGCCAATTCTTAATTAATTAATAGTATATAAATAATACTAAAATAACACTGCTCAGACAAAAAAAAAAGACTTCCTGTATATAGTTCAATATCAGTTTTGCTCTATTTAACAGTACTTTCATGCTGGTCTACATACAATGTTCAGTGTATTCTCTGAAAGCCATTCTCTGCATCTCCTCACTTGAATATATGTGTGAAGACTTGTTCTCCTACCCTGACTATTGTTATTTAGGTGTTACCGTGGAACTAGACCCTGTTCTCTGTATCGGTGGGGGGCTGGTGGTCCTTTTGCTTCTTGTGTAACTGTAGATTGAGCAGCAGTTGTGTATTAATAGATCTGAGTGACGTGGATCAGCGGCAGCTCAACTCGATTGTTGGATTTTTCTGTTTATTTCAGGGATGGAGGAAGGGAGGTGACCCTCACAGAAGAAGAAACGGAGAGCATGAGGGGTACAGCAGATATTTAGACATTCAGGCTCTTAGTAAGTGTTAAGGTTACAGTTCACACACAGGCCTCAGACGTTCTGTGTTTTGTTTCATTTGACTTTCTCTCCTGTTCTTTGTTTCTTTTCACTGTACTTGAAATCGTTTTCGCTACTGACTCTCTGTGACTTTTCAACTCTGGCCCCTTGCCCCTTCTCTGACCTGGGCTCCATCAGCCATGCTTGTGTGTCATGATTCTGACATCCCTGTCGTTGTACAGAATGTGTCCCGGCGTTGCTGGCATGTCTGTGCTCATGTTGCAGCACAGGTCGCATTGCTGCAAAAATGCGCTAGATGATTTCTTACCATTCACACTGAATTTCTTATATCCAAAATTACAAAATAATTTCGCGGTAAATATCTTTATTATGACATTATATGAAAAATACAACCTGATTTATGACAGATATGAGTAATATGTTATTTTAAAGCACAAAATATTGATAATATGGTAAAAAGAAAGAAATGAATGCTTAAAAAGTAAATTAGTACTTTTGTTTTGCAAGGATGCATAAAGTTGATTAAAGTGACAGTAAATACATTAAAAAGATTTGTAAATTTATATAAATGCTGTTCTTTTGAACTAGCTTTTCATCCAAGTGTCCTGAAAAAAAGTATCACCGTTTCCACAATATATTAAGCAGCGCAACTGTTTTCAACATTAATTATAAGAATTGTTTCTTGAGCACCAAATCAGCATATTACAATGAAGACTGGACTGAAGACTAGAAATGGCTGTTCCGCTTTGCCATGACAGGGATAAAATACATTTTAAAATGTTAAAGGGGTCCTATTATGCTTTTTCAACTTTAGTTAGTCTGTAATGTTGCTGTTTGAGCATAAAAAAATCTGCAAAGTTACAAAGCTCAAAGTCCACTCCAAAAGGAGATATTTTATTTAACAGAAATCACTTTTCAAAAACTACAACGAACGACTCGTTTGGACTACAACGCATATTTTCCGGGATTTGTGATATCACAAATATCGACGAATGGGACGAGACCTGGTTGAGCTTCACTAGAGAAGGCAACGAGTGTTATCACTATGTCGGAGACACGCTAGCTTTCCCAAGGCAGACGAACTTAGAGTGGTTACAATCATCCGGATTTAAATCGTGCTCAAATTGATTTGATTTTGACGCAATGGACCCTTTTCACATTTCCGGGTTTCTCAGCAGCGGAAGTCGTCATAGTTGGGTAAACTTGAAGAGCAGTGAATGGGGCCCAGCTAACCAATCACAGCACATTTCGTATTTCAGAAGTCGGACCTTCATTTGATACAGGAACCATTCGAGCCGTTCATGCCAGACTGAGGAGAGAGGTGTTGTAATAATGTAAAATATGTGAAAAATAATGTTTTTCAAACAACCTAGTATGAGAGCCTGTTCTAGTACACCCCCAAAACAAAATCAAGACTTTGTAAAAGAGCATAATAGGACCCCTCTAAAAAAGGTTATTTTATATTGTAATAAAATTTCACAATATAACAGCTATATAAATACATGTTATTAGCAAAGCCCGCTGAAGAAGGAGTTGCTAGGTATGAAAGATAACGGTGCACAAAAGCACAAAGCGCTTCAATTTTAAAAACAGGAAGCTTGAGAGAAATTGATTGAGTGATGATCTGCTGGTGAAGTGATTGACGGGCAGCAGGATATCTGATGTTGTGCTGGAGAGAGATGGGACACATGGAACTGACAGGTCAGTGCCGGAAGATTTAAGAAATAACATTCCCTCATTTTATGAGTATATTTATCCTTCTGTAGCTCTGTCATTGTGTATGTGTCTTCCTTTTTAGGTCTGCACTTAGCTCAGGGAACATACAGAGACGCTGCTGATGACAGGAAGACGGATCAAGGGAAAGAGAAGAGGGACTCAGGAAAGCCAAGATGCTGGGATGAATTGAAGGTTAAATATATACAGTGGTGAATGAGAGGAGAGTTAGGGAAACAAATATGAAGAAAAAAAAGTTTAGAAGTGACAGAGTAAAATGTGAATTTGAGGAAGTAGAGAAAGTAATGAAGAGGAAAATAAGGGGGAACAACATCTTGGGAATATTTGACAGTGGTTGAGCTGTCAATTCTACTTAACTGCCTCTAACAAATACATTATTTTCAAACACATTAGTGATTACTGTGGCCTTTTTTTCCTTAATAATTTTTTATTCATAAATGAACATGAATGTATACAGAAGCCAGGGTGATTTCACACATCTTACACACGTGTACAGTATGTTGTGTACATGTGTGTGCGCCAAACAAGTGTGTGACAGGTGCTGGACAGGAATGGTGTTAAATTCTCAGCGCTGTCCCTATTCTTGGTTATTTGAATCTGTGCCTCCAAAGTATGGAGCCATAATCCAGTCTTTAATGACTAACGCCTCTATATACGCACACAGATGGCACGTGAATACGTTCAAGATCATCTAGACGAACCAAGAAATGCACTTCTTATGTTATTTAATAATGATGTTTTGTACAATCACATTAGTTATTGCATGCTTTGAAAAATGTTCTGTCCCTAAAGCATAAAAAATGTTTTGTCAAGTAACTTAAATTTACCAAATGTGGCAAC